ATAACATGTTCTACTGAAATTGGTATTTGAACCATTGTTAAACAAAATAACGAAGTACAAGTTGTATCCACGACCTGAATTTTTATTATTACTGGACTTTATTTCTGGAAATAAATGTACAAATAATTTATTTATAAAGTATAGAGATGTAAACAAACATAAAAAATAACCTAATAAAGCTACATTATAAGAATCATTTAAATTACAAGTAATAATACTTTGCAAATAAATGTACATAATCGCGATAGTACTCCATTTTGCTAAGAAAGTAGACGTAAACATTGCATGGGTACTATGAACATTTATTACGTCACATAAGTACAATTGAACACCAAAGGGTTTCTAAATTATTATTATTGTTATTGTTATTAATACGTTTACATTAAAGATTTGTTCAAAGATTTATACACTCATAAATAATATATTCTCAATTCGCAACACAAATACATGGTCTCTTAAAGATAATTTTCTTTCTGTACAACATATGTACAAGTATATATATATAAATATATCTATATATATATATATTGGTATATATGTATACATTATGTATCACAATATTTCATTCAAAAATTTCACATTCACACACGTTCGCTTATAAGACAGAATAATTCAAAGATATTATACCGATAATAGTCCATTTTACATGTTCGAGCAACAGTCGTTACATATAATCATCAAAATTGCATAATTGAAAATTGGAATTTTTTTCGATGAAAATCAATTATATAAAAAAACGAATCAGAAATACCATATACAACGATCATTAATCATAGATCCTTAATCTGGGATATATCTGGTAACGGTATATGATAGCAGTGAATATTAATAATCTTTAATATCGTTACAACGTCAAAATTGAGTTATAATAGACATTGACATTAATCGAGTTACAATAGATATAGAGACATTGCTGTTCAAACTATTGCCATTCTTGTTGATAAATTTATTTCAAATTTTTCCTTAGAAATCCATAAACCATACTTATTGTCACCTACTTACTAATAAATTCAGCCGATTAAAAAAAAAAAAATTAATGGTTGCTTTAATTTAATGAAATTGCATTGGAGTTTCATTGAATGTTGATTTTTACTCGAAAAACTAAATAGAATAAATAACTATAGTTTTGTACACAATACTTAGAATGATATACAATTTCAATTTTGTTTTACTACATGAAGAATAGTTTGCCTTTCAAGATTCAGATCAACAATTTGCTATCTTTTTTTTTTCAAGTAAAACTACATCTCTTACAACCTTATAACATCATGGGTCAGAGAAGCATATTACAATAGAACTCCACTTATTATATAATTGGAGTTCGTATAATAAAAATTCAGTGATTCTCCCTTTTGTTAGTGACTTTTTATTTATAATGAACAGTAGTTCAGATTCAATTAGCAATAAGTAGATTCAACTAGCAAGAGTTCATTTAATTGAATATTGACTAAAATTTTGTTCAAATAAATAGAGTTCTACTGTATTTCTAATTAAATGTATAACTTATATAATAAACATATTGTACTACCTGCATTCAGTCTTTTAAATTAATGAAAAGTCATGGAAATAGTCAGTGTGTATGTTTTACTATTAAATTAACTAGGAACTACAAATAGATAAAAATATTTTAATCGACATGGGTCCCAATTTTTATAATCATTTATCTTTTTTTTATTCATGGTTTCATTTTGAAATAACCATTAACCGTTTAACATTTCTATAATTGTGATATTCAACAGTAACATTAATTTCTTAATAGCTTATTGCACTAGAAAGCTAAGAAAGAATTGCTTATGGCTTATATCGTAGAAAGTATAGACTTCTGAGAATATTATAGACGCAAGTATTTATAACTGACAAGTCTAATTTGTAACATACAATGCATAAAAATGCATACAGAATGCATAAAAATTTGAATCAATATTCTGATAAATCTTGATATCTCGAGAGTCACATCGAAATATTTTTTTTTTTTTTCATTTGTCAAATAGTTTTAATTCCGTTTAAGAACAGTATATTCTTTAAAACATAAGTCAATAAACCGTTTACCTTTATCTTGAGCTTTGTGACTGATATTAATTGTCAACGATTGATCATGGCAGTATAGAAATGGCAGCTTATTTAGTGAGATGAAACTGATCTTAAATAATTGAGGGTCAAAAAAAATATTGGTCTAGAATCGAGATTCTTTTCGTAGAGTTCCTCCATAGATATTCACTCCTGGACGAAGTAATATGTTGCAGATAATATCCTATAGTAGTTTGTAAATCTCTCCACAATAATTCTGACAAATTTGTTTTAATGAATTATCAATTCCCATAATTGTATTGTTTAGAGTTTCAATCTCCTGAACTTGACGACTTTCCACCATCGAGCGTCTGTTCATACAGACAAAGTGCACGATGAACAAATTCGTACTGTTCTGCTGTCTGAACCATACCGCCTCTGTCATATCTAAACAAAAAATAAAATTTTTGAACGTGCGATTCTGAGTAATTTATAATTTAATTCAATATTAAACGATCGAGTTCAATTAAAAAAAAAAAATATTTCGTACCTCATTTGGCATAAAATACCCAACACGTCTACATTCCCATCTCTTAATAGCTGTGTCATTCCCGTGGCTAAAGCTATGAAACAACCAGTTCGTCCAATTCCTGCACTACAATGAACAACAACTGGACCTGGTAGAGAATTTACTTCTACAGCTAAACTAACGAGTGTATCCGCAGTTTGAGGAACAGCATGATCCGGCCAGGAATCATACCTATAATTGTTTATTAACATCAAACACGGTTTAATAACATGACTGGGAGTAACTAAAACACATCAGACTTGTAATTACCAATAATGCTGTACATGTCTTTTATCTCCTTCATATCGAAGTTCCAAATCTCTGATCGTGTAACCTTCTTTCGCATCGATAGAGTTAACAATGATAGCAAACGATCCAGCTTGTATGCGACTATTTTTATCCAATGGAAAATATGCTTCACATTTTGTTTTCGTGGCCTCGCGTAACTTCGTTATCATGACTACCGCGGGTACATTTTCTGCCCAGATCATTCTCCAGAAATCATCAACAGTGTGAGCCAATGGTCCCTGGGTTGCAATATAACGAGACTCTTCTCCATCGTATCCCTGTTAGATTAAACTCAATAAATAAGACAAGACTAAAATTGTTGTGTATTCTATTTTGTTTTGAACATACTCGAATGTAATTGGCATTGATATAGCTAGAAAGAGGATCGTCAGAAGTAGCTGGCAAAATCACCCTCGACTGTGGGTTTGGTAATACGGAACAATATCTATTCTTTACTCCAGATCCACAAATATCCAATTTCTCGGGCAAGTTAAGAGGAACTTCCCAAAATTCTTTATGTAACCATGTTGGGTCACTGATTGCTTTTTTAAGCTGAGCTCTTGACAGAACATTTCCGGCGCTCAACAAAAATTCCTCCGCAGTACATTCACGAGTGGGTGTAACAATATGTGGCGGGCTTTCCGGAGGAGGCGCTAATTCTATGGTCAAACTTGCGTTTGATCCACGCCGTTCTAATAATCCTTTAGCTTTTATACGTATTGGTTCTGGTCTGCGTTCTGGTGTCACCACCGACATTACCTAAAAATAGAGAAAATTCGTTAATTTCACAATTATCACTATCAACCTGAATGACAGAGAAACACACCTCTGGTAAACCAGTAGCTTGTGTGACTGACGGGGCAGCTTGAACAGATTGAATAGATGGTTTTGTTGCTGGTTGATGAATCCATTCGACTGATTCTATTGCAGGCTTGATAGGCTTTTTTGAATGACTCACAGCACCTTCCTCTACCAAACCTTTCCTATCACCATCTTCAGTATCTTTTTCACGCGACATTTGTTTCCGCAGCCATAACAAAATCTAAGATGAACATAAAATTTGCTATAGAACATCTTGTTTGAACATATACAACGAATGGTACAGGATTAGAATTCCAGAAAAAAGTCTTACCAAGAATGTAAAGAGAATGGCGCTACCAATGGCGCAAAGTGCTACGTACACTGGCAATTGCCACTCTAGCCATGATAAATTTGCAGTAGAGCGTACCTCCTGTCCTGTGCGGGTACTGAGTTGAGCTGCTTGCAAATCCATTCCAGCATCATCCAGTCCTGTTATGGACTGTGGAGTCCTGTGTGTAAAAAGTTCATATCTTAAACTAATATCAAATAAATTAATGATATTTCCAACAATTAGATATCGGATACAAAGTTCCTTGTTTGTGTACCTGTGATGAGATGTAGTTGACATTCCCTTTGTAGATGGTAAAAGAGGTATAGGCAACACAGTATCTGCGTGCCACTTTCGTTCAGTAATTAAATAAAATTTCTCTAAGGGATCCGATCTATCATCATAACTTGAGATGTCATAATAATTTGCATCATTTACATAGTGTTTAATCAAAGGAGTACTTGTACCTCCTGCAACAAATTAAATTAAATTGCTCTCAAACAATCATAATACATTATATTATATTGTATCTGTATGTATGTATGTGTGTGTATATATATATATATACATATTGATATATTAAAAATAGTCTAGATCCAATATTAATGCATTAAAAATAGTCTAACTAGTTACTATAAAAAATGTTGTTGCTTTCTATATTGATCAACAGAACGTTATCAGGTGTCAGATATCCTTTGGATATTATAATACAACACTATCTCTTAACACACTCATAGAAATTTACATTGGTTTATGTCGAAAATAATAATCGATATCTTTAGGATATCGTAATGTACAAAGAATTTGTGCAACGTTACACGTAGAAGCGCACACACGTTGAAGGAATACCTCTGACCAAACGAGGAACAATGTTTTAAGTTTCCCCTTTTATCAACAATATCAAACACTTGTCCATGATTTGGTACGATCTGTCAATTAGCAAGGGCATGTTCCACTTGACGATAATCTGGATTTCTCTGAGTCTCATGGAGAAATCCTCGGGTGTAGTTCTTTCCGACTTCCGTGCGGTCACGCAGGAAGTAAACATCTTGTTAATTTTGTGAACGGAGCACCAAGAAAACGCTGAAGTAGGGAAGGGTGACTGGGCAACGTGAGCAGATGGAGTATACACCAATGAGAGAACTGCATGTGACAAGTGGATGAATAGATGTCGTTCCAGTCACTCACACAGCTATACACTATATGTGCACATGTACTTCCCACTTACACATAAATACGAAAACGAGGAACACGAATAGATTACATCCTGTTTTCATGATCGTGTGCACAAAGACTGTGTGTATATGCACTAACGATGATCGTTAATGGAATAAATGAGAGAAAAAAAAAAAAAAAAGAAAAGAACATTCAAAATATAATGAAAATTCGATCGATACCTTTGGTCAGAAACAAGCACATGATGAATACAAAAGTCGTACGATCGAGAGTAACGGACAAATCGCGATTTGAAAGTAGCGGCTGCGTGGACGTGTAAACAGCCATGTTGATATTGCTAAGAGAAGCTAATAGTCAGAACTCGACTGCGCAAGTTTCTCGTTCAAACTGCCGAAGACGTCGCTTCTCTATCGTGATCTGGGCTTCGGTTCTCTTCGGCTTTGCACTCGGTTACATATGGGAGTAGACACGAGCCAATCAGCGACAAGCCATACGCAAACGGCAGCCAATCGCGCGCCTGATTTACTACTAATACCATAAATTTGGCGGGAGGGACTCAAGGTGAATGAAAGCGAAGCACGTGCAACTAATGATAGTAAAGTGCATTCGGAATGAAATTTTACGTTTGCCCATTGAGCCGCGACGAAGCGTTTTGCATCCTGCGCGAATCCATGTTTCCGACTATTCGAAGTATATATATATATAAGTATACACTCATGTTCAAAAGCAACAATACGCTACGAAACAGTTTCGGTCAATTAAGATTACAAGTTTTCAAAATTTCGAGCCCTGGTAGTTTTCAAATTTCTGAAGTTTCTATAGTTTCTTATGTTACGTATATTGTATACTACAATTACGCTTTTCAAAGATTAAAGATTTATCATTCTTTTAAAAAAAATTACCAACATTTTCGAGACCGAGTGTCAGATCGGAGGTATCGAATTTTTATTTGATAGCTCAAAAATTAAACAGTCTGGGGATAAATAGCTTCCCGATTAAACAACATAGTTCTACGAAATTTCGTAGTTACGAATGTTATCATTCAATATTATTTTCTAGAAATTAGTTTCATTTCGTCCTATACTCTGTAGCTATACTATATATTAAAAATGAAATCATTGTAAGTTCTTTCACTGAACTTTGTTCGCACATGAAATTTGTCGCATATTGAAAAAAAAAAAAAAAAAAAGAATAACTTACGAGTTATAGCTTTATCGTTAGCGGAATTAATAACAGTTTATGAATAAATTAAAAACAAAGGAAACACGTATAACTGCGCAGAGAACATTTTATGGGTCACATTAAAAGAAATATTTCCCTGACTCATATCTTGGGGATGAATCATTCTGCACATGCATAGAAGTTATAGAATTAAAGCTCGCCAGGAGGAAGTGGAAAATCAGACAGAAAAATGAACGAGAATGAATTTCAAAATTACCGTGTACGAGAACTCTGTCGTAACACTGCCTCATGTTTGCATTTGCACTGTACTTTTCCATCTGTTTGAAATCGTTAAACGACCATGATTTCGCTTCTCTCCTTTTCCTTTTTTTTACACAAGCAACGTCCATCGATTGACGTACAACCAGCGTAGAAGTAATCTTCGTTTATCTCGCGACAGATACATGATGCAAAACAACGTCGATCTTGCCCCGAGTTGAAAAAAAGCAACAGCCTTTTAATATCAGTTCGACTTTATCAGTTGTTCATCGGTTAAGACAATATTGGATCGACGTGAGCGTGCGCCTTACGCATTTCTCAAGAATATCTCGGTGAATCAGAAAACCGGATGTTGCCTATTCATCCCTGCCGTACGACCGACATCCAATATATTCGTTCTGTTCGAATCTCTCGTTTCTATTTACCATTCAACGGTGCGAATTTTCGTAAATGAAAAATTGATAATATTCCGGATGAATTCCAGATGATAATCTGTAATGTTCATTATTTCAATCGCATTTTTTTTTTTTTTTTTTT